TAAACATCCCCGTGTCTTGAGCATCACAATCCCCCCAACATCTCAATTCCCACCGGAATTATCTTCTCACATCATCTCACTTCAGCATCACCATTATAAACCATTTCCTCCACTTCAACCACATCTGCAGCATCCACACAACATCCCAGTGATCTCAGAAACCATTATCATCTTCCACATCTCCCATCCGACGTTCAGTTACCCTCATCCGCTTCTGGGAACGATTGGGTAAGATGATTGGGTTAGAACGACGTTCCCTAATCTCCCAGATGACTGACTCGAATAATCGGATTCCAGTGACATATTTCAGCCGCTCACCAATTACTTCAGGAAGACCCAATTGGGGAGAGAAATGGAATTGCGTTATCAGAATACGGACTCCAGCGCGAGTTCATTAGTGGGGAAGTGCATTGTCTTGTGTTGCTCTCGCTGGAATACTGCCATTGGTAATTTTGTTTGGTAATGAAGTTGATGAATATATATACGCCTACATCAAAATTAACTTATATATTGTTTGTGTGTGAAAAAAACAAAGTTGAATTCTTACGACTAATGCAGTTTGGTTGTTTCCTTTGTGGAAGGTGAAATGTCCGGATATATACATAGTGTTAATGATACAGTCGAGGGGAAATATAAATTATATTATGTGTATATAATTTAAATAGAAATTATATATTAGAACATTCTGTAATAAAACGTAAATAAAAAAATGCTAGAGAGAGAGAGAGAGAGAGAGAGAGAGAGAGAGAGAGAGAGAGAGAGAGAGAGAGAGAGAGAGAGAGAGAGAGAGAGAGAGAGAGAGAGAGAGAGAGAGAGAGAGAGAGAGAGAGAGAGAGAGAGAGAGAGAGAGAGAGAGAGAGAGAGAGAGAGAGAGAGAGAGAGAGAGAGAGAGAGAGAGAGAGAGAGAGAGAGAGAGAGAGAGAGAGAGAGAGAGAGAGAGAGAGAGAGAGAGAGAGAGAGAGAGAGAGAGAGAGAGAGAGAGAGAGAGAGAGAGAGAGAGAGAGAGAGAGAGAGAGAGAGAGAGAGAGAGGAGAGAGAGAGAGACACAGACAGAAACAGACATAAAAGCAGAGAGTGAAAAGACACACAAAAGACAAAAACAATGGAGACAGCATCGGGAAAAACAAAACAAAATTGAGTCTCCATACGGGGTTGACAAGGCAACGTGAGACCAACAACACAGGATCAAAATACAAACAGGGAAGCGATCACACTTTCATGAGTGTGTGTGAGATTGTTCCAACAATTTTTGTCAATCCCCCCAAAATGCCTCAACCATTATTTGTGATTTTTGTTGAGGTCTTGAGGGCATCGTTAAGTGTTCCTAGTTGACTTCGTTAATTGTTCTTAGTAGATTACGTAAGTGTGGAGTCTGTTTCCACCAGTTCATTTTCTAATGCAGTGCATTTTGTTAACTACTCTGACACTTAGAAATATTCTTTATAATGTCTCTGTGGCTCTTTTGGGTACTCAGTTTCACCTATGTTACATTGTTCTATCTTGCTAAATAGTTTCTTTCTCGTATCTTTCAATTCCCTTAAGATTTTTGTATGTGGTAATCATGTCTCCCCTTACTCTCCCTGTCTTCCAGTGACGCGAGGCTCAATTCCTGTAGCCTTTCCTCATAACTCCTACCTCGTAGTTCTGGGACTAGTCAGATGGCGTACCTCTGAACCTTCGTCTTGTGTTTGACAAGGTATGAACCCAATGCTGGAGTCACATACTCCAGGACTGGTCTCACATATGTGAAATACAAGGTTCTGTATGATTTGTTAAGGCAATGAGTGCTTGTGTAAATACGTAACTATTCTGAAAAAAACATTGTAGGTAAAAAACATAAGAATTGATAACTCTTAACACAACAGAGGCCAGTAAGTAGAATAGTCCCAAAAACTAAGCCTCATCATTGAATAGAAAGCTCCTATACCTCTCCCCCTCCTTTGTCTCCATACACTTCGGATCATCTACGGCCGGAGCGGACGTCTAACAAAAGGAAGATGGTCATGAATCACCGGAGGTAAGCCAGAAAATATTTCTCCTGGAAACCCCTGGAATTCAGAGAAACACGACGCAAATGCAGGAAAAAGAAGAGTTTCTCCAGCAGAGGATATAAAGAATTCTCTTTCCTGGAGTGGCCAGGCCTGGGACTCCCTCGAGACGGTAACTTTCTTGGGCGTAATACACTTGACTTTTGACACAAATACCCGCTCTTATAGGTGGATAACATACGGGTCAGAGTTGATGGTGTGTGACACGCTGACTCAGTCCTTATGACTTGAGCTAACTTACAAGACACTCCCATTTAGGACTTACCGGAGACTTGATTCCTAATTCATGAAAAGAGCGGTGAATGATCCATCGTTTTTTTATTCTTAGATGTATTGATTACCCGTCGTTCGTGACGTATCACCAAGCATAATATACGTCAGGGAGATTCGTAACCCCCCCATGGTGGTACTGGAGGATATTTGTGACCAGGCTGATACTTGAAGAGCCTCTAAACGTTGCTGATATGGGAAGATATCTTAGACCTTGTTGCTACTGGAAGATATCTTAGACCTTGCTGATGCTGGAAGATATCTTAGACCTTGCTGCTACTGGAAGATATCTTAGACCTTGCTGATGCTGGAAGATATCTTAGACCTTGTTGCTACTGGAAGATATCTTAGACCTTGCTGCTACTGGAAGATATCTTAGACCTTGCTGATGCTGGAAGATATCTTAGACCTTGTTGCTACTGGAAGATATCTTAGACCTTGCTGCTACTGGAAGATATCTTAGACCTTGCTGCTACTGGAAGATATCTTAGACCTTGCTGATGCTGGAAGATATCTTAGACCTTGCTGATGCTGGAAGATATCTTAGACCTTGCTGATGCTGGAAGATATCTTAGACCTTGTTGCTACTGAAAGATATCTTAGACCTTGCTGCTACTGGAAGATATCTTAGACCTTGCTGCTACTGGAAGATATCTTAGACCTTGCTGCTACTGGAAGATATCTTAGACCTTGTTGCTACTGGAAGATATCTTAGACCTTGCTGATGCTGGAAGATATCTTAGACCTTGTTGCTACTGAAAGATATCTTAGACCTTGCTGCTACTGAAAGATATCTTAGACCTTGTTGCTACTGGAAGATATCTTAGACCTTGTTGCTACTGAAAGATATCTTAGACCTTGCTGATGCTGGAAGATATCTTAGACCTTGTTGCTACTGGAAGATATCTTAGACCTTGCTGCTACTGGAAGATATCTTAGACCTTGTTGCTACTGGAAGATATCTTAGACCTTGCTGCTACTGAAAGATATCTTAGACCTTGTTGCTACTGAAAGATATCTTAGACCTTGTTGCTACTGGAAGATATCTTAGACCTTGCTGCTACTGGAAGGAAACTTAAACCTTGTTGCTACTGGAAGGTGTCTTAGACCTTGTTGCTACTAGAAGATATCTTAGACCTTGCTGCTACTGGAAGATATCTTAGACCTTGCTGCTACTGGAAGATATCTTAGACCTTGCTGCTACTGGAAGGAAACTTAAACCTTGTTGCTACTGGAAGGTGTCTTAGACCTTGTTGCTACTAGAAGATATCTTAGACCTTGCTGCTACTGGAAGATATCTTAGACCTTGCTGCTACTGGAAGATATCTTAGACATTGTTGCTACTGGAAGATATCTTAGTCCTTGCTGATACTGGAAGATATCTTAGTCCTTGCTGATACTGGAAGATATCTTAGACGTTGTTGCTACTGGAAGAGCCCCAAGGGTTTACTGCTACGGGAAGAGACCCGAGTCAAGTTATCAAGCACCTACCAAACTTGTACATCTGTTAATAACCATGGCCTCGTAGCCTGGTGGATAGCGCGCAGGACTCGTAATTCTGTGGCGCGGGTTCGATTCCCGCACAAGGCAGAAACAAATGGGCAAAGTTTCTTTCACCCTGAATGCCCCTGTTACCTAGCAGTAAATAGGTACCTGGGTGTTAGTCAGCTGTCACGGGCTGCTTCCTGGGGGTGGAGGCCTGGTCAAAGACCGGGCCGCGGGGACACTAAAAGCCCCGAAATCAACTCAAGATAACCTCAAGATAACCTCAAGATGGCAGCTTAGTTTTCATTGTCACAACCTACGAATGTTATTGAGTTTTTCAGCACTTTGGAGCTAATAAACTATTGAATAAATACAAACCAAGTCACCACGATTGGAGAAAGATGTACTGGTTTCGTAAGTAGTTGCGTAAATTCTTGATAAATTCTGGCTCTGGGGCGTAGGTTTTATCCTTGTAGTTAGAAAGCACTTAGTAGTTAGAAAGTAGTTAGTAGTTCTTGTAGTTAGAAAGCAAGATCAGCACTCGGTGATGAGATCAGCACTGACACAGAGCTGCTTGGGACAGAATTTTTAACATATCGGGACATTTGTTTCCCTTCATCGGAAGTAATTGTAGTGGCTGAATGTCTATGCATTGTGGTGCACAGTGCGTGTGTGTGCTCTGTATTTCTGGAGCAGAAGGCTGTGCTACCGTAAGTAAATCATCAATGGAAATACCAAGACCGGAATGTTATAGAGCAAAATACACACAATGTAATTAATTTTTAGTGTTGAAATATAACATTTGCTGCGAAGTCTCTGTTTACACTCTGCGCTAAAGGTGCATAAATGGATATCCATGCACTAAAGGTGGATCAAACGATATCCATGGAAGAACAAGGACTGCACTGTGTTGCAGTACATGCAACTAGTCATGACTGTAGAGGACGATGCTAATGCTCACGCAGACTGCAAGTCACAATAATGAGGCTGAAAATTAGACACAATTTCTTTGCAAGACTTAATAATGCTCCAGGACGGACCGTAACGTCTTGACGCTTATTATTAGAGTGGGCTCGGGGTTTATTTATCATTTACGTGTAAATAATTCAGCATTCTTAGGTGCATTTATCTCATGGTAAGATTTGTTTATTATTCTATGATAAAAAAGGTGATTTGTTGAATTTTTTTTCCTCGCAGAAGGTCACCGCGTCCATCCCCTGTGGTGGGCCGAAGGGCCGAGTCGGCCACAGGGTTAGATTCCGGAGTGGAGGACACGGCCATGGCCACCACTGGACCCCTGAACCCCACCACCCCGGGGGCCCTGAGTTCTACCTCAGTGACCCCAGGAATGATCCTGGGGCCACAGGGCGTGTACTGGCCAGCTCTGAGGGACCATCCACCGCCCGTGCCGCCACAGCTGCTGAAGAAACTCGCCTGCAAGGAAACTTCCAGCATTGGCAAGGTCAGCATTGTTTTATTCAACCTAAGATGTCTCAGCGTCTCGAGTTACTACAGTCTGATAACGAAGATTTTCACAGTGTGACAACATGTGACGGATTGGTTAAGTGTGAGAGCTTTCACTCACGAATATGAGTGGGGGAAAGTTCGAATATGAGATGTGCTATGAGACACAACTCTCCCCTAAGTATGGGATCTGTCACAACACAAGCCACTTTAGAATGCAACAATTCTGGGGGCACTGGACTCGTCAGTAAGCCTCAAGAGTCCACTTAAGCCAACGAGTAAATATTACACATGTTCCATCTCAGCGAGACTCAGAGTTCCCTCTCCCAGAGATACTTATAATTTAAAATAAATACATATAATAATAATAATAATAATAATAATAATAAATACAATAATAATATTCTTCTTATTCTAATTTTTATCATTGTTATTTTTACTATTATCACACATATCACATTAACGTGATATAATGAGAAAGTTTCTCATTATTATTATTTTTTGTATTAGTTATATTTGCTATATATACATTTATATCACTGTTTTTTTACCATTAAGTAGCTGCAGTAGGCCTAGCAATAATGGCAGTACTATCATTAGTAAAATTTAACACAAATATCGGTTGAAATGGTAACAGCAACAGCCGTAATGGTAATTTTAATATGAGGGGATATTCTGTCATTTTTTTTATTTCGGGCTATTCATGCCCGTGCCACCTTCAGGTTGGCTTAATCCTAATCAATCAGTTATTTTTCCGAATGTGGATAATTTGGATGACTAATTATCTCCTAGATGCTGGCGTCATCCTTTAATGGTCAGTGTACTGAGCCCTCAGAGTTGTTCCTTAATAGCCATTGAACTGAGCCCTCAGAGTTGTTCCTTAATAGTTAGTGGATTGAGCCCTCAGAGTTGTTCCTTAATAGTTAGTGTATTGAGCCTTCAGAGTTGTTCCTTAATAGTGTATTGAGCCTTCAGAGTTGTTCCTTAATAGTTAGTGTATTGAGCCTTCAGGGTTGTTCCTTAATAGTTAGTGTATTGAGCCCTCAGAGTTGTTCCTTAATAGTTAGTGTATTGAGCCCTCAGAGTTGTTCCTTAATAGACAGAATACTGAGCCCTCAGAGATGTTCCTTAATAGTTAGTGTACTGAACCCTCAGAGTTGTTCCTTAATAGTTAGTGAACTGAACCCTCAGAGTTGTTCCTTAATAGTCAGTGAACTGAGCCCTCAGAGTTGTTCCTTAATAGTCAGTGAACTGAGCCCTCAGCGTGCTCCCTTAACAGGAGAATCGCTCCCCCAGCATGTCTCAACAAGCCTCACGTCTGTGACTCAGGGTATAAACCGCTCCCATAAACAGCAGTAATGCAGGAAGGGATATTTCTGCCTGGCCACAACGCCCGGACGCCGCCACCAGGGGCTGCACTTCAAGGCAATAAAAAGAGTGAAACTGGTGTCTGCGACGAGCAATTTTCTCCGAGTTGGACGGAGTTTTTGAGATAATTATGAGTTTGAGAGGCAGAAGTTTCTTGTTTTGGGTGAAGTGCAGCTCTGATGAAGTAGTTACGTGGTTTGTGTACTCTCTTTTAGAGGGCATAAAAGGTCGGAAGGAGTAACGATGGTTTGGGGGGACGATGGGAGATGAAGTTGTTTCACTGTGATGGAGGTTTAGGAGGGACGAAGATGGAGGTTAGTAGAAAGAAGGTTCTCTTTCTTGCGATTTGTGAAGTGTTTAAATTTAAGTCAATTTTGCTCAAGCTAAAGTGTAGATATCCGGGCAACTCGCATAACTGATCTACGGTGATGCTCATTAGTCCGAAATGCGTCACAGGAAGCAGCCCGTAACAGCTGTCTAACTCCCAGGTACCTATATACTGCTAGGTAACAGGACCATCAGGTGAAAGAAATTGCGTGTATGTGTTATTATATAGACTGTGGGTTGGTTGGTGTTGTCGTCGTTGATCCTTCTCTATGGACAACCCAACCCACAACTCGGCAGAGTGCTTATACTAGGAGATCACCCTTGGCGCTTCTGGCTCTTGGAGAGGGGCTCAACGTCACACGTTCAGGGGATGCGGCTCCAACACTTAGCCTCGTTGTCACGTGCACACACCCACTCGAGCCGCTGTGACTCCCCACTCTCTCCTTATGAGATATGATCTCCTCAATCCCCCTATGACTTACCAGTATTACCTCCTACCCTGTCCACAGCAGTGGTTCATGGTTCTTCCTCTCTCTCTCTCCTTCTTTACTACCTCCTGGGAAGCCTCACTAGGACAAGGGCAAACACCAGCAAATTGTAACACATTTACTGAACAAAGCACATACACGATACATACACACATCTAATAATAATGAATCCTATACTCTATAATATCCAAATCAGGTTGCACTCCAATACCATCAGAACTCTATTATCAGCTTACCAAGTGGTATCCCAACTCCTGGTTCACCACCTGGTACTATTAACCTCCTCAAGTTGGTCAAGCCCACACACTGTTGCACCATCAGCAAGATAACATATATATATAGAAAACCGGCATTTGAATGCAATAACATATATCAGTATAAATGTTCATTGATACTTCAGTATAAAAAACTCCTTGACATAAGGATGCCAACAGTCACTCACCTCTCACTGCGTCTTGCACGCTACTGACAACCAAACACTATCAACTCCCTATAAGTAATCCACCAGAACTTCCCCTTCCACCTCTGGAAGTTCACAACCCTAATATCCTTAGGTTCTGCCGGGCTTCACTACCAGGATCCTCTGCAGCTCCTCCAGGCTGCTATCATGAAGTTTCCTTGTGCAACTACGGTGCTTCACCCTTCTGTTAGGTTCTTCCACAGCTCTCTTGGCTGCTACACCACCTCTACAGAAGCACGTGACACTCCTCTTCACTGCTGCTTCTCCTCACAGCTCGAGGTCCTCTGCTCCACTACCTTGGAGTCTCATCAGCTACTTCCTCTGCTGGCTTCGAAGTTCTCAGCAACTTCTTCCCCAAAGAACAAACCACAGATTAATTGGTCGAGGGCGCTTTCCCTCTGACGGCGTCTGGTCAGGGCGCTCCACACAGCCCACAATAATGCTTCTGGGCGATTTAATATCTGCTCGTCGACCAGGACTTGAGACCACAACGTTCCCAGCTCGATTCCACAGCTGGTACGTCCGCACACTTCTCTTCTCTTCGAGATATATCACTAGGGGTTCCCTTCTGGCGGGAGCTCAAACGGAGCGCGGCTTCCCCCTGCGATGTCTGGCACTCAAGTGAGGTCAAGGTCCTCCGGAAGCGAGCCTCACGCCTCCAGCAAAGTGTCCACATCTCCTAGCCAGTCATTTATCTATTTCCTTACTTACTGCCCATAATCTTAAATTGTTTTACATATCCAACCAGCCATTTTTCATATGGGTTATTACCTCAATATTTGCTAGACCTTCTAGTTAGGTCAGGCTTGCTGAATAACTCTCAAGAAGGGAGACTCGTTTCTCCTGCAGGCTGAGATCATAACACTCCCCTCCCCTTATTTTTGAGAGTTATTCCAGTGGCAAAGCTCGGGATAATACATCCGCCACCACACTGTCTCGTTCTTCAACCAATTGGTTCGAACGGTTGATCTGCTTACGTACTCCCTTAGGAGTCTACAATTAGTTCGTTGCTCCTTGCAACATCTGGCTCACAACTCGCCAGAAACATGATCTTCTCATAAACGATTTGACCTCTCTGGCACCTCTTGGCTAGGCTGTCCTCCTTGGACGCCTGCAATCCATTGGTCCACTCTACTTACTGTCTCCACCCTCCGTTTCCTCGTCTTCTTCTCTTCCCGTCCAGAGTCAGACATCTACTGTCTGTACCTCCTCTGTCGTTTTCATACTTCCATCTACTGCCATTATACTTTCGCCTCCTGTCATCATACTTCACTCCCTCGTCTTCACCGACGATCCTCCTTTTCGTCTCCTCATTTATCTGAGACCTCATCCTGTTCGACTCCCATCGAGTCCTCGGCTTTCTTCTATTCCTCCATGCTTGCATCATCATCCTCTTCCCACACTTCTCACCTCTATACCACTCCATTTCTTCTCCTTCAACTCTTCTTCGTTCCCTAAAAGTTTCTTCGGGCACCATACTACAACCAACAGCACTCGACTGTGCATGTCGCTCTACCTCTCCTAGAGTGCTCGTAAGCATCTCTCCACACATACTGTCTCTTCTCCTTTCATTTTCCCGGCTATTACTCTTCTTCACTATCTCTCCTCCACGTTTTCTGTGAAACATGTCGACTCCTGACATCTCAAACAACTTAACTCTACTATCCCTATGCCTCTGTGCTCGTGGACAACGTGACGCTCTACTCCCGTCCTCAGTATGTCCACATCTTTCCTCATTCCTACTCAGCACAGTTGCATTCACCTTCCGACTCTTAATTTCAGCAGTCTGGGCTCTACTCAGGTCCGCTCTCTTCACATGATTCTTCTTCGGCTGGGCCATCTTCACTTTCGACCCCACCGAGACTCCATTTGCCTGGGCTGGACCTTCATCAAACAGCCATGCTATATCTACATCGATATCTTCCACTGGTTGAATCGACACTGTATCATCTTCTCCAGCGTCTTCCTTGTCGGCCACCTCTGCCTTCCTCACTACCGAGACGGGGTACTCATGGCTTGGCGGTCTCCTGACTCATCTCCTCGGATGTCAGTCAGGTTCACACTCTCAGGTGTCCCACACGTGCCGTGGCCTTCTGGGCACTCCTCTGGCACAGTCTCTGCTATGACTCTTGTCAACACCTTTGTCCCGCACAAGTCATTCCCCAGGATCACTTGGACTCCTGGAACAGGTATGTCGGGGCATACTCCCAACATCACCTCCGCCGACACATATTCCGACCTTAGCTGGACAGTACAAACGGGCATGTCACTCTCCGACAATAACCCATATACTTTCATCTTCCCACTGCCAGCTAACCGTCGATCATTCCCAATCAGGCTTCTCGCAATCAAGCTCTGATTAGCTCCGGTATCTCTTAAGATACCAACTTCTACCTCAGGTTGGCCTCCTACACTGATCCAACCTTTGCTCATGAACGGTCTATACCTCTCGTTCACTAAGTTCATCTTCTGTGGTTTGTCTCGGAACACATTAGTATATTTACTTCGGGGGTCACACATGGCCAGGGTCACAACTCTCTTGCCCTGCCGACAATCTCGCATCACGTGACCCAATCCGTTACAATTGTAACATCTCATCTGGGAAAAGTCTCTTCTATATGTACCAGAGTAGCTCTGACTCTGCCCACTCGTATTGGAGTTCCTCGGGCCAGACGTACTACTCGTACTCTGTGGAGCTTTACTGGACTCTTGATTCCCTGGATAACGAATAGTTTCTCGTTTGGCTCCTCCATCTTCACTTTCAGACGAAGTGCGCGACCTACTCTTCTGAGTTTTAGGGTACTTACTTTTATCTGCCCATTTATCAAAATTTTTCTCACCCCAAACTCTTCTGGGTCTTTCATAATTTCTTCCTCCCCAGACTCCATTGGATCTGCTATTGCTGCATCTCGCCTCGCTTCTCACTCTGTTCTCCCTTAAGCTCTTGTACGCTTCAGTAATCATATCCGCCCTATCTGCGGCATCTTTCACCTCCTTTATCCCTGCTTCTTGGATCTTGAACTTTGTTTCGGGATGCATCATCTCCAAGAACTTCTCCATGACCATCAGTTGCTTCAGGTCAGCATAAGATCCAACTCCAGCAGCCTCAATCCACTTCTGGAATCGTCTTTCCAGATCCCTTGCTGTCTCAGCAAACGTACACGCTCCAACTTTGATCATCTCTCTGAAGCGCTTCCTATAAGCTTCTGGGGTTAACTGAAACGAGCGCAATATGCTGCTCTTTACTGTGGCATAATCCTGGCACTCTTCCAGTGACAATTGGGTGTATGCCTCCCTGGCTGCACCGGTCAATCTTAACTGGACCAGCTGGGCCCATTCCTCCTGTGGCCACTCCTTGATACTGGCTACTTTCTCAAAATGCTCGAAGAAGCTCTCTGCCTCTTCGGGAACAAACAAGGGAATGTCCTTCTCCCTAACCCTAACCTCTGGTGGGTGTGATACCTGGGTGGTGCTCTCTGGCAACCCATGTTCAATCCTCTGCTCAGCCAAGGTTCTATTCGCTTCTATCTGCATTTGTTTTGTTCTCTCTTTTTCTTTTTCGACCTGGGCTTTTTCTTTTTCGACCTGGGCTTTTTTTTCTTTTTCGGTCTTTTTCTCTTTTTCTATTTCCAGTCTGGTTTTTTCTTTTTCCTTCTCTGCTTCATTTTTCATCTGGAGTTCTAATTTCATCTTTTCCAGCTGGAACTGTCTCTCCTTGTCCTCTCGTTGTTGCTGCATCTGGAGCTCTAACTGGAATCTCTCCAAGCTCCTATTTCGGCTACTCCTGCTACTGCGGCTACTCTTGCTGCTCCTACTCGATCCCTGGGATCTCACTTCATCCTGCCCATCATCCTCCTTTCTACTTTCAGCTCCTTCCTGGGCTCCTTGTTCTGCCGCTTCACTTCTGGCTCTCAACTGCCTCAGGATCTCATCCTTCATCCCAGCTACTTTAGATGCTTTCAACCTGATGCCACATTTTTCTGCTATTTGTTTCAATTGATCCCTCGTGCAACCTTCTAAATCCTCAGGCTTGCCTGACTCCACAAACGCTTGCACCTTATCCATCTTTGTCCTGTGAGTCTTCCCAAGAGAGAGAGTATACACCTGCGATCACACAGTTTATCTATTTCAGCAAGGGTGTACAAATCCACTCTTGGACAGGGTGTGGGTGTGTCAGTTCACTCTCCCGGACAGGCCCCCAATTTATTATATAGACTGTGGGTTGGTTGGTGTTGTCGTCGTTGATCCTTCTCTATGGACAACCCAACCCACAACTCGGCAGAGTGCTTATACTAGGAGATCACCCTTGGCGCTTCTGGCTCTTGGAGAGGGGCTCAACGTCACACGTTCAGGGGATGCGGCTCCAACACTTAGCCTCGTTGTCACGTGCACACACCCACTCGAGCCGCTGTGACTCCCCACTCTCTCCTTATGAGATATGATCTCCTCAATCCCCCTATGACTTACCAGTATTACCTCCTACCCTGTCCACAGCAGTGGTTCATGGTTCTTCCTCTCTCTCTCTCCTTCTTTACTACCTCCTGGGAAGCCTCACTAGGACAAGGGCAAACACCAGCAAATTGTAACACATTTACTGAACAAAGCACATACACGATACATACACACATCTAATAATAATGAATCCTATACTCTATAATATCCAAATCAGGTTGCACTCCAATACCATCAGAACTCTATTATCAGCTTATCAAGTGGTATCCCAACTCCTGGTTCACCACCTGGTACTATTAACCTCCTCAAGTTGGTCAAGCCCACACACTGTTGCACCATCAGCAAGATAACATATATATATATAGAAAACCAGCATTTGAATGCAATAACATATACCAGTATAAATGTTCATTGATACTTCAGTATAAAAAACTCCTTGACGCAAGAATGCCAACAGTCACTCACCTCTCACTGCGTCTTGCACGCTACTGACAACCAAACACTATCAACTCCCTATAAGTAATCCACCAGAACTTCCCCTTCCACCTCTGGAAGTTCACAACCCTAATATCCTTAGGTTCTTCCGGGCTTCACTACCAGGATCCTCTGCAGCTCCTCCAGGCTGCTATCATGAAGTTTCCTTGTGCAACTACGGTGCTTCACCCTTCTGTTAGGTTCTTCCACAGCTCTCTTGGCTGCTACACCACCTCTACAGAAGCACGTGACACTCCTCTTCACTGCTGCTTCTCCTCACAGCTCGAGGTCCTCTGCTCCACTACCTTGGAGTCTCATCAGCTACTTCCTCTGCTGGCTTCGAAGTTCTCAGCAACTTCTTCCCCAAAGAACAAACCACAGATTAATTGGTCGAGGGCGCTTTCCCTCTGACGGCGTCTGGTCAGGGCGCTCCACACAGCCCACAATAATGCTTCTGGGCGATTTAATATCTGCTCGTCGACCAGGACTTGAGACCACAACGTTCCCAGCTCGATTCCACAGCTGGTACGTCCGCACACTTCTCTTCTCTTCGAGATATATCACTAGGGGTTCCCTTCTGGCGGGAGCTCAAACGGAGCGCGGCTTCCCCCTGCGATGTCTGGCACTCAAGTGAGGTCAAGGTCCTCCGGAAGCGAGCCTCACGCCTCCAGCAAAGTGTCCACATCTCCTAGCCAGTCATTTATCTATTTCCTTACTTACTGCCCATAATCTTAAATTGTTTTACATATCCAACCAGCCATTTTTCATATGGGTTATTACCTCAATATTTGCTAGACCTTCTAGTTAGGTCAGGCTTGCTGAATAACTCTCAAGAAGGGAGACTCGTTTCTCCTGCAGGCTGAGATCATAACAGTGTGCACACATATTTACAATCCACCCTCTGAGCCACCAGGTGTAGAGTGAGGTCTGGTGTGAGGTGGTGTAGAGTGAGGTCTGGTGTGAGGTGGTGTAGAGTGAGGTCTGGTGTGAGGTGGTGTAGAGTGAGGTCTGGCTTGGAATGGACAGATGGAGCGTTCAAGAAATCCTTGAACTTGTTCAAAAGTTCTGATAACTGTTCAGATGTTCTCATACTCAGAACTGTTCAGTGTTCTGATGCATTATTCAATCAAAAAATTCAGTTAGAAAGTTATGAATTTAGAATGTTAGAAAGTAAGGTTTGGTGTTACTTATGAGTCTAACATGTAGCCTATTCAATATAACATGCACGCTATCTCATTTATCATGTTCCATTTCTAGTTGAACATGTATTCTTCCTGTTTTAAATGTACTCTGTATAATTTAGCACGTAATCTCCAATTTCACATGAAACCTTTCTAAGTTAAATGTAATATATTACACTTACCATTTATTCTGTCTAGTTTACATGTAAGATATCCAATTACCTCGTAAGTTAACCATTTTATCATGTAAGCTATACAATTCCCATGGGGGCTTTGACGGCTGAGAGGACAGTGCTCGGGGATCGTAGTCCTAAGGGTCCGAGTTCGATCCCCGGCGGAGGCGAAAACACATGGGCAGAGTTTCTTTCACATTTCTTTCGTGCACCTAGCAGTAAATAGATACCTAGGAGTTAGAGAGCTGCCACGGATTGCTTCCTGGGTATGTGTGTGTGTGTGTTTGAAAATTAGGATTAAGGACTTGCCCGAAACGCTATGCGTGCTAGTGGCTCTACAAGAATGTAAGAACTCTTGTATATATAAATAAATACATACATAAATATAAAGTAAATAAATGTAAACCATCAAATTTACCATGTAAGCTATCCAATTACCATGAACTTAATCTATAATAACTCAAAACAAAGGTGTTACAAAGGGCATGCGTGAGAGGGAGTTTCTAGTCTGATATTTGACCATAATGGCATTCAAGTCAGTAGAAAATCCTCGGCGCTGCAGGTGAAGTTCAAGTATGTTTATTGAGACAAGAAAGAAATACATCTCAAGGGATAGAGTAGCTTAGGCTATTTCTACCCCCTCCTTGCTGCAGGTGAAGGTGCTGCTGAGAGTGGCGGCGTCCTCTGAGGTGGGTCAGTCATCGAAGGTGCTCAGTGTCGATCCACGGAAGAAAACAGTGACCTTGTTTGACCCTGGCTCGGCCGTCCACCCGACCTCGGCCCACACTGAGGAGTCGAGAGTGGGCATCGCCGCTCCTAAGATGTTCGCCTTCGACGGGATCTACACCTACGAGGATTCTCAGGTGAGAGACGACATAGGTGAGAGCAAGGGGGACGTGACACGGGTGAGGGACGAGGGAAGGGGTGACATGGGTGGGGGACAAGGGAAGGGGTGACACAGTTGAGAGACGAGGGTAGAGATGACTTAACACCTCTCATGGGAGGCCTCTAGAATTCTCTGAGAGCTGCATTATAAAACACTGAGCTAATTAGAGAGTCCTAAGGGCCCGACAGGGATGCATAACGATGTAACTATAGACCTAGAGGCACCTGCTTGGCATAGTGATGATAAGGGTCCTCGAGGGGGTAGTTCAGGGGATATAACGTGACAAGCAGAGACCTGAAGGCGCGCAATTAGTAGAGACGAGAGGTAACCAGAGCACTCATATGTCCCCAGACGGAGGTGTGTTCAGCGTCGCTGACGGATGTGATCGTAGCCGTGTTGAGGGGAGCAGACGGGGCCGTCTTCAGCTTCGGTCAGCCCAATCTCGGTACGTGTAATTACCTAAGATGTAGTTACAGGATGAGAGCTACGCTCGTGGTGTCCCCTCTACCCAACACTCTTTGTCATATAACGCTTTGAAACTCCTGACGGTTTTGACCTCCACCACAATTTTTGGTGTGTGTGTGTGTGTGTGTGTGTGTGTGTGTGTGTGTGTGTGTGTGTGTGTGTGTGTGTGTGTGTGTGTGTGTGTGTACTCACCTAGTTGTGCTTCCGGGGGTTGAGCTCTGGCTCTTTGGTCCCGCCTCTCAACTGTCAATCAACAGGTGTACAGGTTCCTGAGCCTATTGGGCTCTATCATATCTACACTTGAAACTGTTTGTGTGTGTGTGTGTGTGTGTGTGTGTGTGTGTGTGTGTGTGTGTGTGTGTGTGTGAGTGTGTGTGTGTGTGTGTTTAACGGAAATATTTCTGGTCTATTACATTATTTAACAAGCCCACTGATCTTCCATAAAACACAAGTTATCATTGTAGCCCCAAATACAAGCACAATCATCTAAGTAAAAGGAAAGTCAACAACTCGTCTGACGTTACTGCCATCAGTTGTGTCCTCAGGTCAGTCTCTCTCTCTTGGGGGGGAAAGACTAGCTAATACTCTTCGATTTCGATACTATTTATCGGCTCCTTCTTACTAGTTTATGGCCGAACGATTTCCTTGATGTTCCTACCCATTGGAACTTCGTCTCAGGCCCCATCTGTGGCCGTGGCTCAGGTGGCAGATGGCCACCACTCAGTCCCTTGGCAGGAGACTGTCAGGAAAATTTATCGACGAGGAATTTTCTTTTCTTTAATACAAAAACAACTTTATTTTCTCTTTGCTCTATCATTGCTTGACTATTCTTTATATCACAATATTTAAATATGTGAATGATTACTTAAGTTAGTATTTATTATCAATCGCATTGTGTTTAATTTAGGCAATTGTGTGAACTAATCGGTTATTATAGGTTAGGTGTGGCTATTTAATTAGTTTGGATCAAAATATTCGAATGCATATATGTTCAACTGAATGCATCAAGATATAAGAAAAAACAATATCGAACAAATTTATCTCTAATGGAATTCGGGTCTTGTGTTTTTTTTTGTGGACGCTCTACAGGTCAAGGGTACACTATGCTGGGTGGAGGAGAGAGCTGCCACAGCCTGGGAGTGATGCCGTCGGCTGTGTGGTGGCTCTACAAGGCTCTTCAGGACCACCGCACTAACACCGGCGCCCGCTTCTCTGTCAGGATCTCCGCCCTGCAGATTGCTCCGGGAGACGTGGTCACTGATCTCCTGGCGCAGTATGCTCAGGGTGAGTACCCTTGGCATACTAATAATATAATATAGTGATGTGATATAATATATATCATCAGAGATATCAACTCTTCTGGTTTCATCACAATAGGAGAACAGTCTCCGGGCGTGTTCCTGATGGAGGACTCAGGCACGTCGCTGCTGCTGGCCCACGCAGCAGAGGTGCGGGCGCCGACTGTGGAGAGGGCCGCCCAGCTCCTGGACGCCGCCCTCGCCCACAGGCACGTCGACGAGCAGGGTCGCCACGCCCACCTCGTCTTCACCCTCAACATCTACCAGTACTCCGTGGACACCTCGGCGAAGGGAGGAGGTAGGTACCGCAGAGAGAGAGAGAGAGAGAGAGAGAGAGAGAGAGAGAGAGAGAGAGAGAGAGAGAGAGAGAGAGAGAGAGAGAGAGAGAGAGAGAGAGAGAGAGAGAGAGAGAGAGAGAGAAGCAAATCGAACTAATATCTTAGTTGCTTAACTTAGCAAGCCAAACTAATTACTCTTTAGTCCTGAGAATATAAACGCCACCTGTAGGAGCTCGGTTTGCAATGGAGTTGTGGTTCGATTTGTAGACACGACATTTACATCAATTTTAACCGTTTAAGAAAAAGTGTAAAGCAAGGGGGAACCTTTGAAAGGAGCCACAGCATCCACAAGCAGACAGTACAGACCTATCTATTATATACTTCTGGATGTTGAGGCACCATCCATTTGTCCCTGTTTTTCGTATACTAATCGATTACAGCTGTTGTAAATTTTCAGTAAATGTTTAAAGTTATGCAAAGTTTTCAACATTCCAGCTTCATCTGAGAGCTACTACAACTCAGTCTCCTCTGTTCCACATGTTCTTGCTGAATCCTTTAGAGAGCAATAACACGTTCGGTGTGTTTTATTCCATCCATGCAGTTGCTGGAGGCAGGAGTCGGCTTCACCTGATGGACTTCGGGGCGCTGGAGCGAGGCAAAGGCCCTTCCAGACTCACCTTGTCTTCTCTCGGCAACGTTATTCTCGCTATCTTCAACGGCCAGAAACACCTGCCTTACAAGTGAGTCCCGAGGAAACACTTGTCTTAGAAGTGAGTCGAAAGGGAACCACTTCCTATGCAAGTGAGTCAAGTTAAAGCACAGGTATTGCAAAGTTAGTCCAAGGAAAATACCTGCCTAACATGTGAATCTCGGGACAATACCTGCGTTACATGTTACCCGAGCGTGTGGGCCAATAGGCTTTCTGCAGCTCACTTTATTCTTTCATTTTTATATTTTATTTTGACATGTTTGTCGTGTTCTGCTCTCACACCAGGGACGGGAAGCTGCCCCGGCTGCTGCGTGAGTGTGTCGGGTCCGTGAGGTGCGTGGCGGCCATGTTGGTCCACGTCTCCCCGGCCTCTGCCCACTACCAGGAGACTCTGGCCACCATCCAGCTGGCCTCCAGAGTCCACAGACTCAGACGGCGACGCATCAAGGTGTGTATAGCTCCTCCGTCGTCGCCGTCGCCTCCTGCTGCAGGCGCTCTTGAGCTTATGTCACTTGTTGATCTGAATGTCAGCGATGACTATAGCTTGCTAAATATATCTATACAACTTTGCAATCATATTATTGATTTAAATAACCATTGGAGCGATATGGGGATTGAACTAACGTCCTGGGCTTGCACCAGGGCTGTGGTTCCTTCTGTCCAATCACTTGAACTTGTCGGTAGGACGACGAACTTGAGACTTGCACGGTCGGCGTTCGATCCCCGATAATCCAAGTGATTTGGCAATGTGGTCACATTCCGCCCCCCCCCATTTCGCTTTCAAGTGTTATATAGAAGTATTGGTTTAGCTAACTCATATGCAATTTTGGGTTGAAATAATCTGAGGCACTAATAAACTAAATTCTCATCTGTGTGACCTTTGACCTAGCCCCATATGGGTGGGTCAGGCTCCGGCGGGTCATCTGAGGAGTCGAGGTCAGGAAGGTCATCACGTGGGACCCTTACTGACACCGGCGGCTCCTCCTCCGTCGACCCTTCCTCCTCCGAACAGGTGAGGAGAGGTCATCCACCATTAAGGTAGGGCGAGGTCATCCACCATTAAGGTAGGGCGAGGTCATCCACCATTAAAGTAGGGCGAGGTCATCCACCATTAAGGTAGGGCGAGGTCATCCACCATTAAGGTAGGGCGAGGTCATCCACCATTAAGGTAGGGCGAGGTCATCCACCATTAAGGTAGGGCGAGGTCTTCCACCATTAAGGTAGGGCGAGGTCATCCACCATTAAGGTAGGGCGAGGTCATCCACCATTAAGGTAGGGCGAGGTCATCCACTAAGGTAAGACGAGGTCATCCACCAAGCAGATTAAACAAGGTCATGACTCAAACCTGCAAGATCGTCCTTTTCGAACAAGTGAGATCAACCAGGCTATGAGTGACGTCCAACCAGGCTGCTAACAGCCGCGTGCAACAGTCTGGTTGACCAGACCACCAACCATGAGGCCTGGTCAGGGCGTAGATCCTCGGAATCACCGCAAGGTAAGGTGGGCCACCCTCCGAACAGGTGAGATAATGACATCTTCGAAAAGGTAAGATAGAGTCATCCTCCGAATAGAGATGATACAAGTCATCCTCCAAGAAGGTTCAAGGTCATCCTTCGGGCTCACAACACAGTTATCATCGGGTTAAACGCTATATTATTCTTCCAGATTACACAATTATTATTTTGTGTATAAAAGTATATTTTGTGTATGTATATATATATACATTTTACATATATTCTTATTTTGTCTTATTCTGTATATTTTTGTTAATAAAGCCAGACATACAAATTGAAGTAGGTCCTGTAAATACGAAAGTAGGGGGGGGGGAACCTTGTTATATTGGTTCATTTACGACATGATAAAAAAGCTTTATTATATTGCTGTTTTTATTAGTAATGTGTATTTTTTTTAAATATCTTATGTATATTTTACAGATATGTGAGTGTAGACTGGATTTAGCTGATCTGGCGTTATTGTATAGATTTTTCTCTCTTCTTGTAAAAGTAGATTTTTTTTTCGATTTAAAAAATTGTTGTTAAAAAGTATTGAAGCCATGCGGTGGGATACAACTTGACCGCTTCAGGAACGTGGGTTCGTTCCGATCGAACGTCTTCGATATTTTCTCATAGATATATTAATTTTTTTTTAACGGTGTATGTTACTGATAATTTCCATAGTATAATACATGACATATTATATCTGTGTGTTGACTCTTGTCCTCCCTGGACTCTCCTTCAGTCGTGTGATACAGTGATTTACGTGGGTCCTCATGCTGACGACGCTACAGACGGCGAACACCCACCTGTCTATCTCCCGTCAATAAACTCTGGGGACAACCGTTGTTCCATGAATAAAGCTCTCAGGGGCTCGGCTGTGGACGGCACTTCTAAAATGGACTCACAGAGGACTCCTAAGAAGTCCTCTAAAGTCTCAGGAAGTAGTAAAAGTCCCTCGAAGCCAAGTAAACACTCTGGGAGCAAAGATGGTGCCCATTCCTCTCCCCACAGGACGAAAGACCCCCACAAGAGTCGAGATGGTGTGAGCGGTAGTGGTGCGGTAGGTAGTGGTGGAAGTTTGCCTAGAACTCCTACGAAATATTCTTCTTCTGGTGCTAAACTATCAGGTGGTGCTACCCCCAAGTCCCCTAAATCTCCCCACGTCTCAAGACACAGCAGACACAAAGCGACGCCGGGTGCGACGCCGCATGCGGACGCCAGCGGGGCTCAGAGCCAACATGGCGGCGGCAGCGAGGAACACTGGATAGATGGACCTAGGTTTCACAGAGCCAAAGTGTATGACGGTCACAAAATGAAGAGTTACGAGATGGAAACGTGGATAGACGGGCCGGAGGCGACCTACGGTTACATGGACGACCACAAGAAGTCTATGATTCAAAAATGGGTTGAGACCCAGAACGCTCAGGTGCAACCCAAGTCCTCGGAACACCCGCAGAAGAGCCCGAAACATAAACAATATAAGGAACTAACGCAGTTTAAGACCGTTGACGACGAGGAGTCGTCTCCCAGACATAAGGACAAATACAGAGAGAAGCGGAAAAGTAGTGAGTGTAAAGAAATACGCAAAGACGGACAACATGCGTCGAACAGAGAGAAAGATCTAACGCCTCGTAAAAGACGTAGTTATGGTGATAAACCTCATTCTAGTCAGCCGGTAGTCGAGCTTGAGGAAGCTAGACCGAAGCCGCTCTCCTTCGTTTCAGAACAGCCAAAAACCGAACCCAAGACTACAGAGTCAGAGAGTGCGAGTGTGTTAGCTAAATCGGAGCCACAAGTAATAAGTCAAATCGAAAAAGTGCCTGAAAGTGGAGCGCAAAGTGAAGCGAGCAAAGCATCTAGTCGCGTTAGTGAGATCGCGGTGAGTTCGATGACTTTCCCGGACGCAAACGCAAACATGCCACCTGAAGGGGTCCAGCGACTCCCGGGTCCTGGAGCGGTGTGTGAGGCTCGCGTCATTCAGACCAGTCAAACCGCTCGCCCAGTTCCAGGACAGACCGCTGGGGCAGAAGACGGCCTGGAAGAAGACGAAGAGGAGGACGAGGACGAGGAAGTAGAAGAGGAAGAAGAGCAGCTTCTCCGGGTTACCTACGTGGAGAACGGGACTCCTCGGGTCGACATGACCATTCTGGCGCCTGAAGGTAAGGACTGATCTTATTTAATCTTTGTCTTCACTTATTTTTGTATATTAGTATGTAACGAAGGATTGTTGTTGAAAATTGTAATGAAAATACGTCTAATTAACATTTAAAATACAGAAATCAAATGCTTTAGCACAAGAAAATATATAGATTTTCCACCAATGTTTGTACCGGCTTATTATATATTAGCGCAAAATCAAGTAAATTTAGATAAGGGTATGTGACTAATTAACATTTTTTTCTGATTTTTTTATTGAGTAATTTAGATAATTATATAAACATTTTCAATAAGCGTATCTATCAAAATGCAAAATTAATCTCCGAAGGTTACTTTCAGGCCAGAGTAGCTGAAAGGAGTAATCAGGTTTTTACTATAATTATTAATTTTATTAGCTTAAATCGGGTTGAAAATTATATTACGAGGACATTTGGGGACGCTGGAGGACATTTCCGTGTTGTTTACATATAACATTTGTTACCAAGGTCAGTCTGGAGCTCTTGTACAGCATTCGCAACTTTTATTTAAAGTAAAGCTTTAAAGTATTAGTAAGGTACTTTATGGAAGCTAAAGCGGATTTAGTTTTTTAATCGTAAGTGCGCCATAGTTTAACAATGCCTAAAGGCAAAAAGGAGAAGCAAAAGAGAATTGAAGAAATAAAAGCCACAGTTAAATTACTATATAGCCACGTGCTGAGGAAGATGTCGATAAATTACATTAAGTGTTAGAGGAGATATGATTATCACCCACAAAATTCTGATAGAAATTGATTGAAGGTAAACAAATCCTCAAGGGCCGTGACGAAGATTCGAACCTGCGTCCGAGAGCATCCCAGACGCTGCCTTAATCAATCCTGCTCATTTGATGCCTCACGCAATTGTGATTTCTGTGTATGTGTTCATTGAAGGTAGATAAAGGCAAACTATTTAGCACAAGTGGTACTCGAGCTCAGCCCATTCTCCGATAATGGAAGTACTTATAATAACTATGTGATCGCAAGTACAAATACGTTGTGATGAATCACCAAAAAGAACACTTTTTTATTCGTGAATTTGGACAAACTAGAAAAAGTTTTATATTTTTATTGTTAATAAAATCTAACCTAACCATTTAAGACCCAATACACTATCTGAGGACTAATATGGCACATATGAGTACTACACTAGGCCTAGTAATATTTAACTTAGTTTTTTTAGTTTTATTTTTTCGGAAATTCATAACAAATTACACAAAGGGGACTTACTGGGGCTCCATTTTTACACACTGGAACGATCGACCCATAGTTACAAAAAGAACTCTCATTTCAGGAGGAATTTGTTGGCCCAAATATTACAATGGCTGAGAGAAGTAACCGAGGGTGCTCTCTTACATGCTGTAGTCAGGATTTATTCTGCCATTTACAGAAGTGGAAGAGGACAGAGCTACTGACGTAAGGTCGTCCTCGGAGGAGACGACAACGGCGGAGGGAGACCCCATGGAAGAGGACCAGTCGCAGGGGTCGTCTGAAGACGGCGCCACTGAGAGCTTCATTGAAGAGGAAGTCCTATACGGCAGACCCACAAAGTTCTTCCTGCATGAGGTAAGATCCTTCTCGGTTCCAAGACGAAGATAATGACTGTACAGACGAGCTTGTTAACAAAACAATGAAGCGTGTGGTGCTATATGAAGCTCCTGATGCAGTATAAATTTCCAATATGAAGCTTTTGCTCCAAAATACTTAAATCCAAAAATATGACCACCTACCATCGTGATCGAAGTGATACAATAAGTAACAGTGTTAGACTGGTTCTAGTTGTCTAAGATATCATACAGTACACGTATGATAACATTCACCCAATCTGACCATTCTGGCTCCGTTCTTCGTCCAGGTGCGAGACCTGGACGAGGGTGAGGAGGAACTGGAAGCTGCGCTGGACCGTTGGCTAGCAGAGGAAGACCGAGAGTACATAGAGGTGGAGGAGCCAGAAGAACCCGTCGAGATGGTCGATTCTTGGTGTCAGGTAAGTCCACCAATGTCAGACTGCCCAAAGAAATATCAGGATCCGGTCAAGAGACTATATTCGTAGTCCTTGACTCTTGATGCAAGGTTAATCCAGGAATTTCGGTGTAGAGGTCGCGTCAAACAGCTTGATACTATGTTCTCAACGCCTGCACTCATGGTTTAGTTATGCCACAAGCGTATATATATGTGCTCTAGTACTCGATACATGTCCTCCCCCCCTCTCTTCTTTACACACACTATCTATACATTATATATACATATTTATGAGAAAATCTTTTGAGCAGGACGCAGGTTCGATCCTACAGCCCTGCTCCAGAGATTTTCTCATAGATTTTCTCGTTGTACATATGTTTATGCTGCTTTGTTTCTGTTGTAATAATAACTCGACACTGGTTTATTTCGTAGAGTATAGACGACGGGTATCCAAGGATTACTTCATGTAGATTTGGTGAACAGATCTCACCAGTTTGCCTATTCCCACGAGCTGATGAGCTTCAAATCTTACGTGTATTTTGCTGAACCAGAAGCGTATGAACCTGAGCATCCCACCTGACATATCAAGGTCGATGCGTGCTCAGAAACGAGTCAGTATTAAGATGCTATTAGTTTCATATACGAAGAAACTAGAGACTCTCGGGCAAACACCTCAAGGGGAAACGTTGTTTAAAGCTGCTGATCCAGAGACAAATCCTCGCTAATTTCAGCCGACTTGTTGATGGCGTGACGAACTCTGAGCGCTGTTTGTTGGAGTAATCAAGTGGGCTCGCTCTGGGTCTGCACTGCCTCTCGCTCGGGGTCTGCTCTGTCGTTCGATCGAGGTCTGCTCTGCCTCTCTATGCCCCTCGCTCGGACTCTCTCTGCCTCTCGCCCCACTGACCTCAGCTGACGTAAAAGCAATGACAATATCTCTTGTTCACGAGTCCCTTTTTTATTTTGAAACTATTTATTGTATTTGTCACTTGCACGGCAGTACAGTTATTCATCGAAGTTATTAGTTTACTCTATTTACTAGTAACTTGAATAAATGAAAATTAATTGTATGACTGTTTCTGTTTTTCAGTCTTTATTTAACTCTATACTTACCTTCGTGGTAGTACATGCATACCTGTCCTCACCTGTGTGTGCTGGCAGGAGGTGAGATGTGGTTCCTGGGTTCCTCCCGTCTTGTGGGCTTGTTTCCTACTGATTCATCTTTCGATTTGTTTGGTAAAGTCTACCTCTACTGTCTCCCTCTCCAGTTCACTCCTCTGACGCTGAAGAAGTTCTTCATACTATTCATGTAACTCATTCCACTTTGTTTCCATCAGAGTGCCCTCTATCTGGTCGCTTCCAGAGTAAACAATCAATCTTGTCGATTCCCTTGAGTACTCTTCACATCTTGATCAGGTCCCCCATATTTCGTTCTCCAATATTGTCCTGTTTATAATGCTATGTTCTGCTTCTTTCCTATCTTTCCCATGCACTGCTCCCTCTCACTACTCTCCGGTACTACACCAGGAGCCTCTTATCAATAACACTCCTCTGCTCGGTTCTGTTCTTCAACACTACTCTCCAGTACAGCAACAGGTAAATTGTACCTATAACAACCTTACGCTTCTAATCACCACCACTTCCTTCTCTTCCTTCACTTGAAAGAACTAAAAAAAATACCTTACAATATATCAGCAGTTCCCTCTCTCTTTTTTCACGAAGTTAATACCACTATCAATAACCAATAACTCTCCTCCACTAACCTTCCCTCCTTCACTGATATCAAGCATCCCCACAAAGTAAATTCTACAACAACATCGTTGCCTGGATTCGAATTCATGTCAGAGTGAGGAAATTTCCTTCGCTTCGTTTACCCCCTATGTACCCAACATAGTAATTGGAGACGAGGATGTAGAACAATTGTTGGATCATGTTCTATTGTTGAATAACATAATTTATTCCAATAACTGGTTCGAAGCCTAAATCCAAATAAAAGAAAAAAACTAGCACCCATACACAAGCCTTGCCCTTAACCCTCCTATATACCAGGCAAACCCATTAACCCCACCATTTACACACCCATCCCCCCCTACAATCCCCATTCCCAAATACCCCTCAAGAAAAAAAAAAGAAAAAAAAACTGTACAATACCTGGCTTCGAACCACGACCAGATTGTGCTAAATATTTTTACTTCCTTGTGCTCAAGGTTAACCACTCTCTGTGGGCCTCTACCCCTCTCCCAGGTAACTGAGGAAGATATTGAACGGACGCTGGCGGAAGCTGGGGTCCACTTCATTCCATTCCTACCGCACCGTCATCTTCTGCCTACCCTGCAGGAGGAGCCGGCGGAGGGCTGCGAGCCGACGGAACAGATGGAACCCATGGACCATTTGGACACCGTAAATGTGGTGTGTGTGTAATTTAAGTTTACCCTGGTTTACCCCGAGGAAGGTGGTGGGGCAGGTGGTGGTTCTCCGGCTGTGTGTAATTGGTTGAGATACGGGTTGTTTGTTGTTTAAATGGTTGAGTGGTGAGTTGCTTAAGTTTAATGGATTGAGAGACGGATTGTTTAAGTTTAATTGGTTGAGTGGTGGGTTGTTTGTTAAGTTTAATTGAGTGGAAAGTTGCTTGTTATATTTAATTGCTTGAGTAGAAGATTAGGTTAGGTTGAAATTATTATATCTCAATATTTACGTAGCAAATTATTCATTATTCTTTAGTTGTAACTCGTTATATACTCACACACACACTCGCACACACACACACATGCACGCACACACACACACACACACACACACACACACACACACACACACACACACACACACACACACACACTTGCGTCTCCTGCCACCTCTCCTAACTTCCAACAATTCGTCCACTTTGCTGCCTGGGTCCAACGTGTACGTCATCAACACAAAGACGGCGACCAGGGGCGGGTCAGCGGTACTGGAGGAGCCCCTACAGCCCTTCAGGATAACTGACCACACTGTTCCGTCAGCCGACTCCGTCTTCCTTCATCCTACTGTTAGTCCGCGATAAGCTTTCTGTTAATTTAACATATAATCGAGTTCCTGTTTTTTTTTTGCTCCTTGTGTTATATATACCGAAATATTTTAAATTTGTTGTACAGTCCATGTGACATGCCTTGACTTTAGCTAGATAGCAAATACTGTATTATTTTTAAAGATTTTGATTAAAATCTTCTGTACCTTGAAGCAGTAGATTTTTTGTTAGCAATTAGTCATTCTTAACAATATTCAACTATACTATTTTCTATCCCCCCTTTCCCTATCCATTCTTTCTCTCTCAGCGAGGTGATCCAGCTGGAGAGTTCAAGAGCAGTTCCCGCTACGAGCAGATGATTAAAGATCCAAACTTCACCGCCAAGACTCATTACTTCGCCAAGAGGCTGGAGGAGCTTCAGCAGCTTCACGAGTTCTACAGGAACCTGGCCAAGCAGGCGCCGCGGGGCAGGACTTCGGTTCACTCTCCCTCAGCCAAGGAACTGACGGAGCTAAGTGAAGACGAGTCCAGCGTCTCTGAAGGAGGCGAAGAACCTGAACCGAAAGTTTTACCTCAGCCGTTTTTTAGTCAGGAAGGAACCCTCACCAGCATGAAAATGGGAGGGGAATATGAATTCAGCTGGAAGTCTCTGTTGCCGGAAGAGATCGACGTTCAGAGTGAGACACATGAGGAGAAAATGGACGGAGATGAGACTGCTTCGGAGATTTCCAAAGACCTCAACGATCCTCTTTATGATATCCAGAGCGATATAATGCCATATCTTCCGAGCAACTACGTCAGTTTAACGACCCTAAGTGCTCTCAGGCAACCTGACGGAGCCTCGAATCCTAATCTCAATGGAGAGTTAGCACATGTGAAGCCTGAGGCTGTTACCGTGGCGCCAGATTCCTCCGTGGCCTTGACGGCGACGCTGCAGGAGAGACTTCCTGGCAATGGCGCTTCTCTCTCCGACGACGAGAGCAACGTGAAGCAGGTCAAAGTCAAGAAAGATAAACGGAAGAAAAAGTTAGGGCTCCTCTCTAAGTCCAGCAAGTCTTGTGTTTACAAGGACGAGGCCGAGTGCGACGAGGGCTCCACCCACAGCAAACTAAGTTGGAGTCGTTTTTTTGGCAGTCCAAAACACAAAGGATCCCCAAAGGATAACTCCAAAAAAAATAGCAAATCTAATTCTAAATCTAACAACAAATCTCCAACGTCTTCCGGCAAAGGCTCGGAAAAGAGCGACAAAAAATCGCAGAGGGAGAAGGAGAGATCGAAAGATTCCAAAACTTCTGGGTCCAAAGACAGTAAGAACAGCAAGGAGGGCAAGGCGGGCCACTCCCAGGACGCCCACTACGCCCTGGACGCTAACAAACAAGCAGACAACAAGAACGCTAAAGCTTTCCAGAAATTAGACTCTGATCGGTCAAATGGTAGTCTTAAGAGCAAATCCCCGGCCCGCAAGGGCTCAGAGAGTAGGAGCAGTCGAAGCGGAAGGCGAGAGAGCAGAGAACAGCCGCAACAGTCCCAGCAGCCTTTACAGCCTATACAGCAGCAACAGCAGCAGCAGCAACAGCAGCAGCAACAGGGTCAGCGGTACCAGGGCTTCCACTGGGACTCGCCACTGCCTCCCTTCCTGCCGGTGACCACAGCCGCTATTCACCCCGGCTACGACTCCGGGGCGGACTCCGGCGTCGGTCTCAAGGTAACCAACGCTCCTGCTAATTTTCCTTGCCTGTGTGTTTTCAAATATCCACTAACAGAGGCTAGATGTCACGTTGACCCCAACCTGTCAGTTATCATTATGAAACACTAAAAGTTTCCTAATCAGAATAGAGAACATTTATGAGCATTCTGAGCCTGGATAACACCGTGTTGTGGGTCTTCGTGTGTGTCAATACAGGTGATGCCGCGCGCGCGACGCTCCAGGGGAGAGAGTCGACACGGTGAAAGCTCCGGTTACGAGTCCGTCATTCGGGACTCTGAGTGCTCGTCCTTCGGCTCCTCGCAAGACTCCGGCCTCGACGATGACGGTCTCAAGGGCAAGGCTGGAGGGAGAGGTAGGTCGAGCTCCTCGCCAGAGGAAGTAATGGAGGGGTAATAGTTCGATTTCTGGGGAAGGGAAGAATGGAAAAGGAAGATAGAATCCTGGAGATTGCAGTCAGCAATGAAGGATTATTTGAAAAGGATTTGTGAGGTTGAATAACACAGGGGAGAAGGGAGAGAGAGAGAGAGAGAGAGAGAGAGAGAGAGAGAGAGAGAGAGAGAGAGAGAGAGAGAGAGAGAGAGAGAGAGAGAGAGAGAGAGAGAGAGTTTATTCTGGGGTAAACTATGATAAAAGGGCACGCGAATAACAAAGACAGCCGTTAAAAGGATAAAGATGGAATAAGGTAAACACATGTCAACAGTTGTCAGGGTACACATATTAACAGTTGTCAAGGTACACATGTTAACTGTCAGGGTAATCATATCACCAGCTGACAGTGCGCACATGTCAACAGCTGCCAGGATAAACACCAGCAGCTAGTAGGATACACATGTCAACAGCTGTCAAGGTGCACATATCAGAAGGTGTCAAGGCACATATTTTGATGACAACTCTACTCACGGTACCAGTTCAAGTATATAATACGCGTACCGTCTTGTGTATGTAAGTTACATATATAATGTGGTCCTCCTGTCACATGTACATTGAAGGCTTTTTTAATCCAACATCCCACATTTTATTCTTGGTCTTTGTGAATTATATCAGCAATATGTAATTGTTGAATTGTTTCTGCTAATCAATAAATATATACTTTTACTTTTTAATGAATTTGTATTTGTGGGTGTATAGAAAACAGCATATTCTTTGTACCATCTTTCTTTTTTCGTAAGGGAGTGAAAACTTAGCTGCCGGGACAGCCAAAACCAAAGAAACACCACAAATACGTTCCAAAATATTAGAAACCCATCCCAAAAGCGTCCAGAAGACGCCGTATCCCTCAGGAAGCAGTCATTCCCATTCCAAATATCCACCATCAAAAACACCCTCTGGCTCGCCCCTGAGGACCCAGAAGCCGACAGCCACAACAACAGCTCTTGACGCCAGGGCGTCGTCCGCGAGCGGCAGTGGCGCCAGAACCTCTTCCTTTCGCGTGCCTGTAGAGGAGTTCGACGAGGAAGACGTGGCGAGGTACGAGAGCCACAAGACCGAGGAGGACATCGCCAAGTGCCGCAGAACGCAGGAGAAGATCCGGGCCCTCCGAGAGAAGCAAGACCAACTGAAGCAGGAGCTGGAAGCAGCAAAGAATCGCCTTATGATCGACAAATCCAGGTGGAGCTTCGAGTGTAAGACATTGATCTGTTGTGTATCTCCGTTCCCGCCACAGCTTGTTAAGTCAGCGCTTCTTCCCCTATTTTTCGTTGGTCCACTTTATTTGCAAAAGCCAAAAGAGTTATGATTAAAAAATTTGGTTTGTTACAAGTTCCTTCATTTATCGCTAGACAAGCGCGGCAATATCGGATGACACAGTAAATTGATGCTACCTGTCTTACATATTATTTTTTGTCTGTACATTTTAATTTATCAGAAACAGGCCTACACACGGATAGAAGTAGAACTGTTTGTAATGCACGCCATAATATTGACTTAGTAACATATCACTGTAGTTAGAATATTTTTAACTATTAGATCACAACATGACATGGAAAATTGGCCTCTAACTTTAACTAATTACACACATTTAGAGAATGGAGGCATTTAGCAATATACTCAAAATTGTTGTCAAGCAAAGTGTGTAATAAGAGACCAGCCAAGGGGGCACTGTTCGCTAAATCAGACAACCAGCGAGCAAAGTAAACAATACCATGGGTGAACAAAATAACTCAATACACACTCTTAAAAAATATACACGAGTATAAACTCACACAGTACGTAAACACGAAACATAGAAACAGAGAAGTATTTAAATCTTTTTATCCCCTGCTGCCTGCATCCACCCCCCTTGTACCCTGTGTATGAAAGCACAAGCTTATTGAGTGGCTCCCGTGACATATATATATATATATATATATATATATATATATATATATATATATATATATATATATATATATATATATATATATATATATATTCTAGCGCCCCAGTTTCTAATATAACAGTGGCTCATTTGATATATACTAGTAGCTATTTCCATAGCTCCCTTGGTATACAAAGGTGACTATTGTTATACATCAGTGGTTTCCTTATAATAAAAGTGATTCTTATGTTAAATAACAGTGGCTCTCTAGTTATAAAAAATGGGTTCCTATGTTATATAATAGTGGTTCCCTAGTTTTACACAAGTGGCTCCTGTGCTATAAAATAATGCTCCAATGTTATATAACAGTGGCTCCCCTTGTTATATAATAGTACTCATTTGTTATAAACAGGTGGCTCCATTCATATACACAAGTAGTTCCCCTTGGAACATACATTATATGCGAACAAGCCTGAATGGTCCCCAGGACAATATGCAACTGAAATATATATATATATATATATATATATATATATATATATATATATATATATATATATATACACACACACACACACTAGTGGTTCCCTTGATATATATATTAGTGGCTTCTATGATATCCCTAACTGCTTTGTGGAAGCTGTATAGGGCCACCTTTAGCTCTGATTAATCTCCCTATGATGCTCTTTCATTTTACACACACACACACACACACGTAGCTTTATTCTGTAGTGCTTTTCATTATATTTGTTTGAGCGCCATAAGGTTCCAGTGTATGTGTTTATCATATTCCATTAAAAATAAGCCATTCGTTTCAGCATGCAACTTGTGCAATATATTCCGATCTAAATATCTTTACAAATTGTCAAGTTGATACTAAGAGTATTGACAGTGTAAGTAACCACAGCCTGTAAATAGCTACAGGAAGACTGCGTCCTGTATTGACTGACAAAACAGTTCTTAGTAGTATATTTCCTCTCATGGTATTCGTGAAGGGTGAGAGTAAGGGTGAAGGGGAGCCAGGGGAGGCCAAAGGGGGGAAAAGGGGAGTCAGGGGATGAAAGGGGTGAGAGGAGGGGAAGCAATACTGGAGGTTAGACAGGTGTTGAATATTTTAAGGAATGGTGTTTGATTGTGTCTAAATCAGTCTAATATATGATTTCTTGTGAAAAGAACTTCACGCATTTGTCTATATTTTCTTGGTTTTTGCCTCTGTGTCACTCTGTGTCTTTTTATATATGTTTCTTTATATCTTTATCTTTCCATTTCTGTCCATTTTTCCCCTGTGGTTCTGTCCGTATATGTCCAACTGTCTCGTTTCCTCTCCATCTCTCACCGAGTCCTCCGTCTCCTCCTGCAGTGCACGTTGAGGAGTGCATGACGTGGCGAGATGACGGCTATGTGGAGGCCCTCCAGCAGGAGACCATCATCCTAGCCAAGCGGGTCATGGCTGCCCGGAGCCGCCTCCTGCTCTCCACATGTTTCGACGCCTCCCCTACCCTCCAGGACCGAGAGTTCTGCGAAGGCCACGACAATGAGGACGACCAAGATTTTCCTATAGATTTCTTATCACTTGCTGGCAAGGACACCTATCATGGAGCCTTGGGCCGGGACCACAACTTGTCCGTTATCAGTGAAGAGGATATGCAAGAAGATTCAGACAATGAAAATAAGGTTAATTATTTAAATATGCCATTAATGGGAGAAAGGACACATAACGAAGAACCAGACTCACGTTTGATTGTCGAGGATGAAGCAATTGAAGAGGACAGTCAAAGAGGAGTTGAAATGGACGACGATAGAGAGGAAAGTAGAAACTCAGTATGGAAGATAGGATTAGGGACGTCCACGTTAAAGGGTGAACGTCAAGATACCTGCGAAAATAGCACTGATGTTGTTGTGGCCAAGAGGCAGGAAACTCCACCGGGCAGTAGGATCGGGTCGGGAGTGAGCATCGGAGAAGGCATCAATGTAGAGGATTGGCGCCGTTTAAAGGAGTCTTTCATTCTCTGACTGCAGGTTCACGGTGGATTTGTTAGTAATTTATATCAGCTAATACTCAACTCAGCTGGCCAGCGAAGTTGCTTTGTGTTTTACCCCTCAAGCGTGTGTTAAAAATAAATTTATATATACATACATCCACACATCATATATATATATATATATATATATATATATATATATATATATATATATATATATATATATATTTATATATATATATATATGTGTGTGTGTGTTTGTGTACTTTTTCTGCCCCGATTTTGTAGTCACATGAAATTTAGTCAAAATAAAATATATATTCGAGTTCCTCCTCTGGGATCCATCACCATGAAAACACAAGGCTTTAAAATGCCTCATATCTGCCCTCAAGGATGTGTCGTGTGTGTGTGTGTGTCTGTGCTTCAAACAATAACATTCTCATCTCATGGAACAAAATACGCCCCTTCCCCAGAAGAGGCAAAGGCTAGCTCCTGAACATTTGTGTGCCTGCACAGTATTTTGAGGCGAGTATTCAAGTGTGTGTCAGCTTCAAAATTTATTATGACCTTAATACTATGGCGGATCTTCCAATTGCCTATTTTGTACAGATCTAAGGTAAGTGTCATTGTTTTATGTAATTTTTATATATATATATATATATATATATATATATATATATATATATATATATATATATATATATATATATATATACTCATGCAACTGTGTAAACAAAAATATTGTACCTTGTGAAATTTCTGGAGTCTGTGAGACTGTCAAGATGCAGTTTGATATTTTTTTGAGATATCAGTATTACGGGGCACTGAAAACAAACTCGGTGAATGAATATAACAGCGCATGAAAACGTTGTAAATATTAAAAATACGATTTTGTATTGCAAACATTAACATCTTGCCATTTAGGAAATATATATATATTGGCTGGACAATGAAAAATCGTGGCCAGTAGTCATAAGAACCTAGTTATCTTAGTGGCATCCATAGTGAATGATAACTGCATTGCTCAAGACAGATCTGAAGTGTGAAAGAACTAGCTTGTTAGCACATGTGGAATACCAAAGATCCACAGATTGCTCAAGAGGACATTTTCTCAAACCAAAATTGTCCACTGTCAGTGCTGTGCAAATTTCATGGGTCACTATGCACAGCAAATAGGGGGGGGGGGGGAGGGAAGAGTGAACAATATGAGCAAATTCGCAGGACCTAGATCGTGGGTTCAGATTACTGTTCACTAAATGTGAATAAAATTGACAGGAGTCTGGTGGAAGATAAGTACCATCAGAGCTTTGCCGTGTATATATAATTGAGAATCACTGTAGGGGTAAGGCGCCGTGTATGGTTTTGTGTGTGTGTGTGTGTGTGTGTGTGTGTGTGTGTGTGTGTGTGTGTGTGTGATGTCTTGTTGAAGTCTATACTGTGTGTGCTAACCAAATTTTGCTGCTTTTTATACTTAAAATATCTTGCCAAAGATTTAAAGCAAAAAAAGTACATTTATATTTTGTTTATTGCTAAAAGTCCTATCTCAAGATTGACTTAGGGAGTCACTGAATGAACGCTTGAGTTAAATCTAAGAATCTGAGTGTCTCTCCATGCAGTGTCTTATTCTCAATCTTAACTTACCAGTCTAGCCTAAGCGTTGAGTGCCACTGTATATAAATTATATATATATATATATATTATTGACATTATGTGAGTGTAGCCTCTAGGATGTTTGGTAATCATTTGTATGTTATGTTACAAAGACCAATTAACAAATATGTTACTCGCTATTGACATTTATGTAGTCATGTCTTGACTTTGTATTATTATTTTCACAAAGTTAAATTACTTTTGTTGAATTAAAAGGGTTTGATTTATCTTCACCCAAGGCTGTGTTGAATACAAGTATGGAACGCGTCAGTCGCCCTCAGCAGTGTGGAATACTAGTATGGAACACGTCAATAGCCCTCAACAACCTGATATACTAGTATGGAACACGTCAATAGCCCTCAACAACCTGATATACTAGTATGGAACACGTCAATAGCCCTCAACAACCTGATATACTAGTATGGAACACGTCAATAGCCCTCAACAACCTGATATACTAGTATGGAACACGTCAATAGCCCTCAACAACCTGATATACTAGTATGGAACACGTCAATAGCCCTGAGCAGTGTGGTATAGTACGTTGGAACACGTCATTAACCCTCACCTGTACAGCATAATATGGTGGAACTCGTTAATCAAGAAATATACAAGAAATGTATGTGATCTAACACTAAATAAAGTGTTCCAACACTCTAAAGAAAAAGGGTTCCAATATGCTAAAGAAAGCGTTCCAAAATTCTAAATAAAGTGCTGCAATATACTAAAGAAAGTGTTCCAACACATCAAAGAACGTGTTCCAAACAAAAAGAAAGTGTTTCCACACACTAAAGAAAGTGGTCCTCTTTAGCATACTTGCCTGAGCGGACCGTTCTCTTGATTTGTCACCCAGTAAAAACAAAACAAAAATTGTTTTCACAACACAACAAATAATCACAACTAATCAGAAACGCACGAACTCAAGCAACCTTCCTAATCTCTCGAGGCTGATGCATAGAAAAGTCAGTATTACGGTGCTTTAATTTCTTACTAATACATGACATATTTTAACGGTCTGACCAATTCCGTAAAAATATGTGATGTATTAGGTTATAGGACGCTCCTCATTTGGACAGTTACATGACCTACAACCAGTTACAACAATGTACTTGAAATGGCACCTTAACTGTTTGTGAGGATTTGTATAACCAGGCTTTATCCTGTTTCTGAATATATATATATATATATATATATATATATATATATATATATATATATATATATATATATATATATATATTATTTTCCACCGCTGGACAGAAGAGGTATCAGGAGATTGTATGTTATTATTATTATTATTATTATTATTATTATTATTATTATTATTATTATTAATTGTCAATATTATTTTAATATTATTGTATATATATATATAATTAATTTATTTCATCAAGAATATGTTTTGCTCCCAAAACCTCATTTGCTTGGGTTGAGTCGCTGGCATGTGATATTTTTATAGTTTTATATATTAAAGAATATATAAGAATATGATTGTTAACGTCACCAGCTTGTTTTATTGTATTGCCTACCACCTTGTCGCCCCCTCCCCCTATGACCTTTTCCGCCACTCCACCTAATGATTCCCTATGCCTCTCTACCCTCCCCTTTGACCTTGTCTGACCCTCCACCACTCTCACTATCTCCGCCCCTGCATCTACGTGACTCCCTCCACCCCCACCTGCCCCCCATCTTGAGGTTATCTTGAGGTTATCTTGAGATGATTTCGGGGCTTTAGTGTCCCCGCTGCCTGGTCCTCGACCAGGCCTCCACCTCCACCTGCCCCCATTCCTCCATGTTCACGACACCCCTCTCTACCCTCTGTCTCCCACCCCCTCCAACCTCTCTTCCTCCCTTCTCTCCACCCCTTCCAATTCCCCCTTCATCCCTCCACTCCTCCATCCCCCTGATTCCATCTACTCCACTCCTCTGCCTCGCTCGACACCTACCTCTATACTTGACGAATATGATCGACAGTGAGCTCTGACAGCGCATGTAAGACTCATGCAGGAGAGAAACCCCTCGGAAGGCTAATTAGGAACTGTGTGTCTCACCAGTTGACTTAAAGCATTTAAAGAATGAAAGAATAGAATCTTGATATACTAACAGAAGTTTGAATAAATATTAAGAATATGATGTAAAAACATTCAGAATATCATCTGAAAATGTTAAAGAAAATAAGAACAATACTCAACAAACACTAAGGACAGAGAAAACAATTACTCAAACAATTAAACAGGTAACTAAATATATAACAAATCTTACATTGTGCTCGAACACACGAGTTAAATTTTAAGAATTAGTGAGCTTAAAATGTTGTTCCTTAAAAATAACATAAAAATATTAGAAATGAAAAACAACAACAAATAAAGAAAGCAATGATAAATAATATCAAACAAATTAACCCAAAAACAGCATAAGAAAAAAATCAAAATAAATAAAATTATAAGGAAAAAATACATAAATCAATATAAATATATATATATATATATATATATATATATATATATATATATATATATATATATATATATATATATATATATATATATATATATAATATATATATATATGTTGTACCTAGTAGCCATAACGTCGTACTCGGCCTACTATGCAAGGCCTGATTTGCCTAATAAGCCAAGTTTTCATGAAATAATATATTTTCTCTAATTTTTTTCATATGAAATGATAACGCTATCCATTTCATTATGTATGAGGTCAATTTTTTTTATTGGAGTTAAAATTAACGTAGATATATGACCGAACCTAACCAACCCTACCTAACCTAACCTAACTTATCTTTATAGGTTAGGTTAGGTAGCCGAAAAAACTAAGTTAGGTTAGGTTAGGTAGGTTAGGTAGTCGAAAAACAATTCATGAAAACTTGGCTTATTAGGCAAATCGGGTCTTGCATAGTAGGCCGAGAAGTGCGTTCTGGCTACTAGGTACGACATATATATATATATATATATATATATATATATATATATATATATATATATATATATATATATATATATATATATATGAATGAAAACTCACACCCCAGAAGTGACTCGAACCCATACTCCCAGAAGCAACGCAACTGGTAACTACAGGGCGCCTTAATCCGCTTGACCATCACGGCCGTAAAAGGAAGTGATAGCCGAGGCTATTTGAGCCACTTCCCCGACGGCAACTCGGATGGTAATCTTGGGCATAGCATTTCACCAAATCACCTCATTCTTTGGGGCACACGTGAGGAACACAAATGCGAACAAGCCTGAATGGTCCCCAGGACTATATGCGAATGAAAACTCACACCCCAGAAGTGACTCGAACCCATACTCCCAGAAGCAACGCAACTGGTAACTACAGGGCGCCTTAATCCGCTTGACCATCACGGCCGTAAAAGGAAGTGATAGCCGAGGCTATTTGAGCCACTTCCCCGACGGCAACTCGGATGGTAATCTTGGGCATAGCATTTCACCAAATCGATGGTCAAGCGGATTAAGGCGCCCTGTAGTTACCAGTTGCGTTGCT